CTAATAAATGAATTGAGAAGGCACTGCATGTTTTTGAACACCTTTGCAACCACAAGTAAAAGTTTAATTTGACATAAATCCGTACACAAAGACAAAGTGGCAAGAGACAAGAAGCGACAGGTTTGATTGTTGATTGTTTCCTCTTCTGCTGATTCAAAAATTGAATGCTTTGTTGGGCAACCTTTGGCTTTGGACGCCGATTTTGACTAATCAAAATATTTGAAATACCCTTGTTGTATCTCCATAAATAGATCCTCAAATCTCAAATGGATATGCAATCCAATGGCTTCTTCCCTCAATTCGTTCCTCTTCTTCTTTGTCATTCTTGTTTCTACATCCTATGCTCAAAATGGCCTAAACCTTCCTATTCGGAAGGATGCCACTACCTTGCAATACTACACGACACTAGAAATGGGCAGCACCCGAGCTACGGTGAATGCAGTTATTGATCTTGGAGCCCAGTTCTTCTGGTTCGATTGCGATAATTATTCCTCATCCCACTATGTTCCGATCCCTTGTGGCTCTCAGAAATGTGAACTAGCTAAAGGGATTGGATGTGTGTGGTTTAATATGCCCCCACGCCCCGGGTGCACCAATAATACCTGTGGCGGCTTACAACCCATTTCAAGGTGTTCGTCTCTCAAGGGTTTGAAGAGGACACGCTGTACTCGAAAGATCATGTCGAGGTGCCTCAATTTCCTTACGCTTGCATGAACATGCGTTTCTCAGAGGGCCTAGCCAGTGGCACTAGCGGGATTCTAGGCCTTGCTAGGACCGAAATTTCTTTGCACAAACAGGTTGCAAATAAGTTCAATTTACCCGACAAGTTTTCTCTATGCCTCCCATCTTCAGGACTCGGAAAATTGTACGTTGGTGGAGGATCATCAAGCAAATCAGATGTGTCGAAATCACTTATCACAACTACCCTTATAGTAAATCCTGTAAGTACTGCTCCTACTTATACCGTTGGTGATCCATCCGATGAATATTTCATTAATGTACTGTCCATTAGAGTTCATGGAGGACCTTTGTCTGTAAAAAGTTCCTACTTTACCATTGACAAACACGGAGTTGGAGGCACCAAGATTAGTACCGTAAACAATTTCACCACACTCCATTCTTCCATCTACAAACCTTTCACCAGGGCTTTTGTCAAGGCTGCGTCTGACATGAAGATCAAAAGCGTGGACGCAGTGGCACCATTTAGAGCATGTTTCAGTTCCTCCACCGTTTCTACCACTACCACTACCACTGGCCCTTCTGTCCCAACAATTGAACTAGTTTTGCCTGGAAATGATGTTTCTTGGAAGATATATGGTGCCAATTCAATGTTTGCAGTGAATAAGAATGTGATTTGCCTTGCATTTGTGGATGGAGGATCAAGTCCAAGAACTTCAATCGTCATCGGCGCATACCAATTGGAGGATAATCTGCTCGAGTTTGATCTTGTCTCATCGCAACTTCGCTTTAGCTCTTCCCTTCTGGTCCAGAACAAGACATGTTCGCGCCTTTAAGATGTTCAAATAGCGTTTGATTTTAATTAAGTATTCCAAATGCTTTAGTATTTCTCAGATTGATTATCAATAATGTGTATCTATAAAACTTGTTTGACTATATACTTATGTGTGCTGGACAGCAATAAACTTTACTAATATTTGAGTTTAATTTTTTGTATAAAAACTTAGAAAAATGAGAATTCTAACGTAAATGTACTTTAAGTTAGAAGCGGGGAAATTATGATGGTGTCGTAGAAACATGTTAATTAATTTTAAATCTTAGCAATAAGTTTAGAAGCGAGGTAAATTATGCTGGTGTCGTAGAATTATAAAAACAAAGAGTAAAAACAAAATTATAAATTATGGAGAAATTTTTCCTTGTTGGCACCATTGCAACGTAGTAGTTAAATTACCACTAGTAATTTTGTCCTCATAGAACGCTAACTATGTTATGAAGTTAAATCTCTTATATCATATTGAATTCAAAGTTGGGATGATCCGTGATCTGCAAGCCCCAACCCGAATGGACGAAATTTCTCAAGGTGTGTTTGGGGCAAAATATCTTGTCTAGACTCAGGTTCGGGGCGAGGATGAGTATCAGTCACCCCACCTGTTGCACCATCTAATATTATTTATGAAAAAGCTTGTCAATCAAACCGAGAGGCCCAACCCAAAACAATGGTCTATGGGTATAAGGATATGCTTGGGGATATCTTCATGTACTAATAATAGTGAGAGCCCTGCTACTTAAAGAGGGCCCACGTGGCCCTGTTCAACAAGAATAATCCTAATAGTAAAAGGAACAAAGGAAGTGGATATGCTACCGAAAATTAGATGGTGGCAAGTGGCAACAACATCTACTGTGTCAATATCATGAATAGATGATATTGTACAAGACAACAACAATTACTTTAAACAAGATATTTCTTGTCACGTGGCATGTAGTCAACAATGTTATCAATGAACATTGTATACCAAGTATGGATCTTCTTTTAGATCAATTTAATGTTGAAAATTCTTTTATTTCTTTTTGACTATTTTTTTCACAAATGTAAACTATGCATTCTTATCCCTAGAAGTGTTGGAATATTATCTTCTAAGGAAATGGAGAGGACAACAAAAAAGAAAGAATAAAGAACGCTAAATATGGTAGAAAGGCTCAAACATGAGATTGTTGTCCTCAAACGATATTTGCCCCTCTAATATTCAATTGGTTCTTAAAGGGACTCTTGTCAAGTGGTTTATAGAATTGATGAATAAGAAAATAGTTAAGCACTTGAATTCAATTAGTGCAGATTTTATAATGTTGAAACTATCTACACATCGAATGACTTGTCAACCTTTGAACTCGTGGATTACTTGTTAAGTAGTGACATGTAAGGTTACTATCGTTGGTGAATTTTTTAGTTTAAGAGTTTCAACCACATTCCACTCGAAGTAGCTATTGTTAAATCTCTATTTAGATGTTTAGTTAAAAGATCCGCTAAGTTCTTTATTGACCTAACATAATTTAGGGAAACTATTCCACTCTTAATTAATTTCCTTATGTAATCATAACTTAGATTCATATGTCTAGACTTCACATTCTATACCTCATTGTATGGCCCTGCTAATGTGGCTTGACTATCACACATGATAGATATCGAAGATGTATTATTCGGTCCCAAATGTATCTCATAAAATAGATCTTTAAGCCACTTAGCTTCTTTCGCAATATCTGATAGTGCTACAAATTTAGATTCCACAGTTGAGTGTGTTATACACGTCTGTTTCTTTGATTTCCAAGAAACAATATCTCCTCCTAGAGTCAACACCCATCCTGAAGTAGATTTACACTGTCTTGTACTAGATATCCAACTAGTATCGGTAAATCATTCTAATATAGTTAGGAATTTAATATATTGTAAACCTAAGTTCTTGATTTTCTTTAAATATCCAAGGACTCTTCCAATGACTTTCAAATGTTCCTTGTTCACATTTCTAGTAAACCTACCAAATTTACTAATTGCAAATGCTATATCTGATCTTATGCATTGAACTGCATACAATAGGAGTTAATATCCTAAATAGTCACAGAACTTTGCCAAAAGTTTTCAAGAGGTCACCGAATTTCAAAACTTCCCTAATTAGTTACTGAACTTTGCAAAAAGATCTTAGGAGGTTACTGAATTTCAAAACTATCCTAAATAGTCACTGAACTTTGCTCAAACTTCCTAGGAGGTCACCGAACTTTGCAAATTGTGAACCCATACATTAATGATTTAGTGACCCCCTAGGAATATTTTGCAAAGTTGAGTGACTAATTAAGGTAGTTTTGAAAAAGGTTTAGTGACTATTTAGGGTAGTTTCGAAGTTTAGTGACCTCTTAGGAACTTTTTGCAAAGTTCAGTGACTAATTAGAGAAGTTTTGAAATTCAGTGACCTCCAGGGAATTTTAGCAAAGTTTAGTGACTATTTAGGGTATTAACCCCATACAATAGACTCTCTATAACACTTGCATGCTTCAATTAAGCAACTTCTTTTTTGTCATTATTTATTAATTTTAAACTTGGATAAAAAGAGGTACTAAATTCTCTTACATTCAAATGTTTGAACTTATTAATCACATTCTCAATATAATGTGATGGACTAAAAAAAAATCCACAAGTTTTTGTTACTTTGGTACCCAATATGGTATTCACTTGTCCAAGATTTTTCATCTTGAATGTGGAACATATAAACCTTTTCGTTTTTTTAATTCCATCAATGTCATTACTCATAATCAACATTTCATCAACATGCAAGCAAATGAAGACTATATATTCATCACACACTTTAGAATACAAGCACTTGTCTACTCTATTATTTATGAAACCAAATGAATTAATAGTTAAGGTACGTTTCTCATGCCATTTTTCAGGTACTTGCTTTGAATCGTATAATGATTTCACTAATTTACACACCTTATGTTCATTTTCGGGTAGAATAAACCCTTCAGGTTGTTCTATATAAACTACGTCATTGAGATCCCCATTTAAGAATGTCATCTGACATCAATTTGATGAACATGCAGGACATGTATAGAAACTAATGCGAATAAAATTCTAATTGAATTTATTCTAGCTACCAGTGCATAAGTATCAAAATAATATATTCCTTCATTTTTGTCGATAACATTTAACTACTATTCTAGATTTAAAGGTATTTGGAGAACCATCATCATTATATTTTTTTCCTGAACACCCATTTACATCCAATAAGTTTGGATTTAGATGGTAAATCGATAAGTTCTCACGTATTGTTTGACATAATTGAATCCATTTTATCTTTAATTGCATCTTTCCAAAAGATACTATCACGAGAAGCAATAGCTTTTTTATATGCTTTAGTAACTGTTTTCACTTGTAGAATAAAAAGAATTGTTCCTACAGCATTCTTCTCATTTGCCTCTACTAGGTAAAAAAAGTTAAGAACCAATTTCATTCGGTCCTAAAGTCTTTTCCATCCGAGTTCGAAGTTCGAGGCTTACTAGATTCATTAACAACTTTACAAGATGTTTCATCTTGTGTTCCACTAGAGTTTGGGATCTCTTTATGAGTTTTTCTTAATTTATTATCCGAAAATTGTGAATTCTCAAAGAACTCAACGTCATTAAATTCAATTATCACATTGGTCTCCAAATTTAATAATCTATGTGATTTGCTATTATTAGCATAACCAACAAAGGCTCATTTGATGTCTCTTGGACTCAACTTGGTCCTATTAGGGTTCGTGTTCTTACAATATACAAGACACTCACTCACTTTAAAATATTCAATGTTTGATTTTCTTCCTTTACACAATTCATAAGGAGAAACCTTTGTAAATTTTGTAAAAAAATCATATTTAATATTCCACATTCACTTAACAATGCTTCACCCCATGAATTGAATGGCAACTTAGGATAAGTTAACATGGTATTTATCATTTCAACTAATGTTCTATTTTTTCTTTCAGCCAAATCATTTTGTTCCGGTGTCCTAGATGTAGAACAATGATGTTCTATACATTGTTGTTCCCTAAATGAATAAAAATCACTATTCACCTCCTCTATCACTTCTTAGAATTTTTATTTTCTTATTTAAGTGATTTTCAACTTTATTTTTATATGTTTTAAGCATACCAAAAGCTTAATGTTTATGTTTCATTAAATAAACATAAATATATTTATAGTGATCATCTATAAAGGTAATGAAACATCTATTTCTACCTCTAGTTTACATAATATTTAATTCACATATGTCCGTATCAATTAACTCCAAAATTTTGGAAGTCCAATTCACATTTTGATATGGCTTTTTATCATTTTAGATTCTACAAAATTTTACATTTATATTCATCATTTTTCTTTATAAGATATTAAGTGACATTTTAACATTCGTTACATAGTACTCTTACCTATATGATCTAATATAGCATGCTATAAAGTAAATGAATCAATTAAATAAGAAAACTCAACTTTATTATTAATCAACTTGTCAAAGGTACAAAGCTTGACTATTCCTTCACTAGAATAACCATTTTCAACAAATTTCTCATTTATGGATAGTACAAGTTTACCGAACTCATAAATACTTTTTATACCCGATTTTCCTAAGGGACTATCACCAACTAAGTTTCTATTCATATTAAGAATATGTAGTACATCTTTTAAGGTAACGATCTTGCCAGAAGTGAAGATAATCTCTACATTTCCTTTTCAAATCACTTTGGAGCTACCTTCATTAAACATTTGAATATCTTGATCTCCATCCACCTCATAATAAGTCTTGAATAAAGATTTATCATATAATACATGTATAGTTAGTTCCACATATATCATACCACCGACCGAGAACCTTTTCCTTGGTAGTATTGATCTTACTTACGGTAGCCACAATATTATCTTCTTTGATGAAGTTTACTGTTCTTTCGAAATTGTTTTGTTTTCGACATTCTTTTATATAATATCCAGGTTTTCCACATACAAAATAACCTCACTTGAACTTTTTCTTAAATTT